AGTGCCAGGGGAGTGGCTTGCAGACAATGAGCGATCAGTAGGTAGCTGTCCTTAACCACTCCAAGCGTCGGGCAAACGAAGGCAACAGGGCGACTTTTTCAAGCCAGACTTCATCAAGCAAAGACTTCTGGAGCGCGTACTTGCGGTTCTCTTGAATACCTATGTTGAATACACTTATTATAAGTCACTTTGGATAAAAGCGTCTGCTAAATGACTGTAATGTAATGGCCATTGGGAACTTGTCTCAGTGATTTTTTGAGTAGTAGTGAGACTTGTGTTTTGGACGTTTGACTTGATCGTCCTTCCTGTTGATTGTTTTTGTTTGATTTAACGTTCAAGAATTGATTCAAGTCCAAAAATGAATCGAGAATAATTCTGTAGCTGAATTAGATTTTGTATTTGAAGTTAAGAAAAGAACAATGACTTGTTTTCTGTTTTTAATTTGACCTGCTGATGAAACAAACTCACTATTTAATCTTATATAAGTTCACTGAAATAAGATGTGAACATAAAACAAATAAAAATGACTTTGTTCTTTTATTGATTGTGAAGTTTTTAACAATAAGATGTTTTGATTCAAAAGGGTGACAGGATTATTATTTGTATTATTATTATTATTGTTGCTATTAAATATTATTTTTGGTTTGATTATTATTATCATTATTATTAGAATAATAATCTTCTTCAGTAGTAGATTCTCTCCTGCTGTCGTGTCTCAGCCAGTCCAGCAGGTGGCAGCTCAGAGTAACAGATGAAAGAAGCACTGGAAGCCGTTTAAAGACACCATGGGTACATCCCAAGTCTCTTAATTCTCATTTCCTCGCTCCTCGATCCTCGCTTGAACCGGAAGTTGTTCTGCGCCGCCATATTGACGGCCGTCCCAAAGCTCTTATTTAGCTCTGAGGATCGAGGATGGAGGAGAGAGGAGGGATCTCTGAGGAGCCATCAGCGAGGACCCACGAGAACAGACTTACAGGAAGTGTTTTAACGGCTGACACGCCCCCTCATTGTTCATCTGTCATGTGATTGGACGCTGCCGCCGATCGGACTGATGAGATTTTTTTCAACATGTAAACAGTGAAGACGGATCACAGATTAAACTCTAGTTTATATTTGATTAGTTTATGATTCAACATCTGGTTTAAATGTTCATTGTAGACTGAACAACAAAAGGACCACAAACATTTATTAGAAAGATTTGTGTTTTCATGATCTGAACTTTTATTATGGAAACAATTAAAGTCAGAGGGAACTGGAGAGACGAAACACATTTTACATCATTCATCATCATTTCATTCAGTCAGGTGAGGCTGTTCATTCCTGATTGTCGGGTTTGATGAGTTTTATCATTTAAGAGAAACAATAATCATATTCTGGGTTATTTAATATCGACGTCACAATCTGAATTTCAAAACGTACAGACGCAAATAATTCATAAATAAGACGATCGCATTCTGCCGGTAGAAATGGATCCTGTGCTTATAAACAGAACACAGGACACAGCTTGTTAACAGACTACAGAGAGAAACACCTCTACAGTGGTGATTACTGTGTGTCTTTATTAGTTATTAGTATTATTAGTTAGTTATTAAGTACAGTGATCATGTAAACAGACACAAACTTATCTAAAGTCTCTCCAGCTGTTAAAGCCGACTGACAGCTGATCAGCTGTGATCAGCTGATCCTCCGTCATCAGAAACAGACGTGGCTTCACGTGACTCAGCTGAGGAAAGGACGTCTCATGTCTCTTAAAACATATTTCCTCGTTCCTCTCTCCTCGCATGGTTTCCTCCATGCATCCCTGGTGGGAGGGACTAAGACGCAAGGAAAGGACGCAAGTGAGGGAAACGGGGATGACATTAAGAGACTTGGGATGTACCCAAAGTCTCATTAAACGTGTGGAGTTTAGTACGAAGAGAAGAACATCACTCATTCGTGCATTTAATCATTTATTCACTCATAATTAATTTCAGCTTTATTTACACTGACGATGCATCTTTTCTTTTTCATTCATTAACACGCAACACAAGACATCAACAAACAGAATTCACACCTATATAAATACATAAACAAACATAAACATAAAAACATACACATATGTTCTTTTCATAGATGTGAATTGAAATGGTTCAGAGGTCTTTGGGGTCTCTGAATGTTTGACATGTCTTGTTTCTCAACAGGACTTGAGAATGTAAAACATGTCGTCAGTGTGAAGAGAAACAGGATCTGAACCAGCAGAGGGCAGCATCGTGACTCTGAACCGCGTCTCTCTCTAAAACTGAGATTTTGTGGAAAAGAACATTTTAATGTGACGACCAGCAGACACTTCAATAACATGTTTATGGCGTCAAGTCAAAATAATGTCAAATAAAGGAAAATAAATACAATTTAAAATAAAAAATATAAAAGTTGAATATCAAAATAGTAAAAGTCTCTCTCTGTCTCTCTCTGTCTCTCTCTCTCTATATGTCTCTCTATATATATATATATATATATATATATATAT